CATACTGATATTAAAAATAATTTTTTTAAAATTAAAAAAATTATTTCAATACATTTCTAAACAAAAAACCTTTAAAAAAAAAACCATTAACACTATACCAAACAAACTCTTAATATAATAACTTGTTATCTTATAATGAGCTAGGTTTCATTTCAAACTTAGGTAAGACTAACTTGATTGGATAGATCAAATCCAAATAAAATTGAATAAAGTTAATTTTAAATGCATTACTTTTTAATTTTTATTTAAAATAATATTTTTTTAATTTTTTAATAAAACAATATTAGTTTAAGATTGATTTGGATTGACTTTTAGGTAAATCTTTTTATTTCAGTATATAAAAAGCTGAATAATTTTTTAAAAACATTATGTATTATAATATTTAATTAATTTTTAAAAATACCAAGCACCATAATATCACCAGTAATATATGCACTCCAAAAAAAAAGAGAGGTTGAGTGAAGAGTAGAAGATGCATGTGAATGGGGATTTATCTAAATTACGCGTTTCCTTGTGTAATGGTTTCGTGAAAGTCCACGGAAGAATCTGTGGGAATGACTTTCTTGTCAAATATTGATGCCCATAAACTCCTTTTGCTTCCTTCTTGTGCAAGACATTATTGACCTAAGCCACCATGAACATGAACACATGATGGCATGGTGGCCATCTTTTTATTTATTATAAACACTTTAGTTAAGTTTTGATTTATCCTTGACGAGATTTATAAAAATAATTCAACAAAAAATATCTTACTATTAATAAATAGAAGTATTTATATCATTTTGGATAATTTTAAAATTTGATATAAAAATAATTTTAAAAAATAAAAAAATTATTTTGATATATTTATAATTAAAAAATACTTTAAAAAATAATCGCAACTACACTTTTAAGCAGATAAGCACTTTTCAGGAGTAGTTGGGAATGCAATTGATCTCAAAATTAATTTTTTTACTAAAAATTATTTTTTATATTTTTATATATTTTTGATGTGCTAATCTTAAAAAATAATTTTTTTAAAATAAAAAAATAATTTTAAAATATTTATAAATAAAAAATATTTTAAATCACAATCACTATTATAATTTCAAACAAATTCTTTTGTTGAGAATCAGATTGGTGACACGCTTCATGGCGTGCTATATGATTTTTTTAACAAGTAAAAAAGATATTTAGATAATAGTAATGTTTATTAAAAAAAAACTTGAAAATTAGATTAAATCTCGTTAAGGATGTGAGTGGACTAGATTATTTTTTTAACAAATAAAAAAAACTTATTTAGGTGATAGTACTTAAATTTCAATTAATTTAATAATTTAATAATATAATTTAATAACACCTTTGTGAAAGCTGGAGTTTGGCTGATGAATGGCTGCACTGCACGCACCATCCGAACAATGTGGAAGCACCGGTGAGTATCCACATAAATTTCACGTGCAACCGACATTTTTAAATAAACTAATATTATATATGTATGTCTAAATACTAAAGTGTCCATGTTTAGACTTTGTAATTATAAAAAAAACCCTACGGACAAACACAATTTTAGACTTTGTAATTATCCTTTTCTTAGCCCAAGCTAGCTGAAGAAAATATGATGGGATCATCTTGTTCCACGACTCCATGCTACGGGTAATATGAGAGGAACATGGTCCGACCATTTCAACTATATATTATAGAAAGGTATAAGCATTCTAGGTCTAGTGTGATGGGAATATGGTCTTGAATCTCAAAATCTCCACTGTTGTAAAATGTGGCTGGCGTCACATTTGCTCCCTGATCGGTATCAGAATCCGGTATTTTTTCAGATGATGTTTGTGACAGATGCGAAGTATGAGACATAGGAGAAGCAAAGTACTTTAGTGCCAGCAAGCAACAATGGCAACTCTGATGTTTATATTACATGCCGAGCGCTCTTCATCTGGGGATAATTTAACTTAACAAGTAACCCTTCCATGCAATACAATCAACCATTTCAGTTCTCAGCTTTTCTTACGGCAATAAAATCTTCTGCAAAACAATTCCGTCGTTCAAGCAAATCTTACTTGCATATTCATGGACACGTCATTTTCAGAATTAAAACAATGATTTCAGAATTCCAAGACACAGGTCATGATTTCAATAACTCAATAGGAGAATAATATAAATTATATTTTGAAATCTTATAAAAATGAACGAAAAAAAGCGTCTGTCTATATCACAGGGAACCATGAGCCATGGTCATTAGATAAAGGAAATTCGATGAACTTGATGGCTCGATCCCAGCACTTGACTTGAAATAATTCTTTTAAACAAGCTCTGAATTGGGTATTCAATATGGCATTAGAATGACATCTAGAAGGATGACTTTTCACAATGCAAGGCTATTGGCAAAACAGTGGTATGGCTTCAGTGCAAGATCCTTCATGGCAAATCCAAATAGCTCTCTTCCAGCACAAGATATCAAAATGTTTTCCATCTTGTCCCATTTAAGTTTTTATGTTTAAGTCACTTTCCTTATTTCGAGAGAGAAGATGATATATTCGAGCATGTAGAAGTTTCTAAGAATGGATATTATCATATGGGGATCTGAAACAAGAAGATTATATAGATAAGCCAGTAATAGATGTATTTATGAATTAATAGGAAATGTTTAAATTCAATAAAAGATCTAGTCATGCAAGATTAGATATGAGCCAGTAGAAAAGATTTATAATATCATAAATATTATAGAGAAAGGTCTACGTACAGAACACAACTTGGACACTGCATGGATACCCCCATTCTTATTTCAATTGCTTCACCAGTCCACATTTTCTCCTTATAATTCTAGGAAAAAGCTTAAAAGTTGTACATCCATGTCTATATATAGCTGCTCTTTACAAGGATGTAGACAACATTGTTTGCAACCTCTTACAAGATACAAAAATCACAACATATTACTAGCTCCCTTTAGTGCTCGTAGTTCATGCACAGCTTGGTTAAAATGCAAGAGCGTGGTTCATAACTAACCTTTCCAGTGCCTACAAACCCATTGGATTTCACCTTTTGGGTCAAAAAATGAATGACACTTGCGGAGAATCAGTTTGGAAGACCACAAAACCAAACCAGACTGGCCTAATTCACAGAGCTGAAAGCTAGAAAGTAGTTTGCCAAAAAAAGAAAAAAAAAGAAAAAGAGAAGGAAAGGAAAAAACATGGCACCCAGCTGCTAGTCATCTCCTTGAATATACCAGCAGAGAAGCATGGTAGCACAGCGTCGAAGTACATAAATCCTGGCTCGTTGTTCTTGAAATAACGAAGCACATTTTCTTGTAAAGCCATGCCTCTTCTTCTTTGCTGGGCTCTTGGTGATGCTCTTCTG